TTAAATGGTCCTTCGAGCCGGATTCTTCGGAAGATTAATCGAGGAGGTGAGTGAGCGGAGCGCGAATGCTGGTGGACTCCAGGGACTGTGCCAGCAACGCGGACGACAGGATCGAGTCTCAACCAGCCAACTATTGCCGGAAGCAGCAGTGCCGTATCATACGCGGCCAGACCCTGAACGATCTATTCGTCGCTCGTGAGGCCAGTTGATCGCGAGTACGTCGAAAGGGACTCCGAGCAAGATTCCAAGGTCGAGCAGTCCATTTGCGCCTTCAGCGCCCATCGAAGTTAACGTGCTCCTTAGCACGTGGTCGACGTGTGCCCGCATAATCTGCGGCGTCGCACTCAACGGCCTTTTACCGCGTTTCTTAACGCTACCTCAATTTCCAGGGCTCCAGAGCCCGTCTCTGCTCGCGCTCTGTGTAATCCACGGACCGGCGAGTTCACGTATTACGTACTCGCTACGAATTACGCACCTCTTGAGTGCGGGTTCCTTTCGTAGCTGAGAGCTACTGATACGTTGCGACCAGGTTGTCGCAAATCTGCATAAGACAATTAACGTGCTTTAATTAAAATTAGCATCGTTTGGAACTTGAGATCATGGCAGATGACCTCCAAGCCTTACTCGTCGAGCAATCCGCCACGATTGCTGCCATTAAACGAGTAATACCGAATTTCAAGAAGATTGGCAAGGCGAACATCACCATCTATAAGGCGAAAAAACGTGTGAATGATCTGGAGACCCTTTGGGAGAGGTGTCAGCGACTGAACGTGCGGCTCCTTCAGGCGGCCTCAGCCGAAGACCAACTCGTCGTCGAATACTTTGCCGATGAAGAATTCTTAGCTGCCGAGGATGCTTACCATGAAGCCGCTGATCATCTTGCCGATTGCGTGGGAAAATTCTCCCAAGACCGGTCCGACGTCGCGGCCTCTTCGGTAAGCGACTCGTCCTTACGAGATACCAGTGCGTCTTCGTTGCAGCTACCTCGCATCTCTTTACCGAAATTCTCCGGTAAGTTCACCGAGTGGGAGAATTTTCGCGGAATCTTCGAATCGCTCGTCGCGTCGAAAGAATCGTTGTCAAATACACAGAAATTACATTACTTAAAGGCCTGCGTCACGGGCGATGCCGCGGTGTTAATAAACCACATCCAGATAGCAGACACGAATTACGACGCTGCGTGGAAACTGTTAGTCGAAGAGTATGATGATCAACGCGCTATAATTCACGCTCATATTCAGGCTTTCGCCGAGTTGCCTATCATGAAAACCGAATCTGCGGGCGAGTTAAAGAATTTACGCGATACCGTTGCCGCGTCTCTATCGGCTCTAACCAATTTAGAAAGACCCGTTGAAAAGTGGGATGATTTATTGGTGTACATTATTTCTCAAAAGTTCAGTCCACGCACGCGTAACGAGTGGAATCTGCAACGCGGAAAATCCAACGAGTTTCCGACTTATGAAGAGATTCGAGAATTTATGACCATGCGTATTCGAGGTCTCACCGATCATGCTAAAGTAAATCCGGATGCGTCTGTTAATAAAATTAAAACGTCCAATCGCGCCTCCATAAATAATGTGACCGCCGATAAATGCCTTCATTGCTCCGGCAATCACCGTCTCGTGCAATGCGACGACTTCAAGCGAAAATCGGTCGAAGAGCGAACTCAGATCTGCAAACTAAAAAGGTGCTGTTTCAATTGTTTGAAGATCGGTCATTTTCCGACCAATTGTTCAAACACTAAACGATGCACTTTATGCCGACGAGCGCATCACACTCTTTTACATCGCGATTCTAACGCTACAGTCCCGAATACAGGCGAAAATTCTACCGCCGAAAAGAAAATGACGATTTCAGCCCCATCGAGCAGCTTAGCTGCTCCGGAGAGCAAACCTGCCGTCGCGTCGGTGCAAACCGTTAGTGCTCCGATTAAAAACCCTCCGACCGTCTTACTCGCGACCGCGTGGGTAATCCTCCGTACCAATGAGGGTCGCAGTTTCAAGGTGCGCGCTTTATTAGATCAAGGTTCCGCAGTTAGTTTTGTATCCGAAACACTATGTCAAACGATGCGTACCAAACGCTACCGAGCGAACCTCCGCGTACATTGCTTCGGCGAACGATACAGTGGCGTAGCGAAATCTCGAGTATCTCTCATTCTCTCGTCTTGCAACGGGCAAGGCCCATCCTTCCCCCTAAATGCCTTCATTTATCAAAAAATCACCTCTTACGCCGTGTCAAGGAATAAGTCAATCGATTCTTGGCCGCACTTAAGTAACCTATCCCTCGCGGATGCTGACCCTTTCAGCAATCATCCGATTCATCTGCTTATCGGGGCAGACTTATACGGATCTCTGTTATTGCACCAAATCAAGCAGGGCCCGATCGGGACGCCGACGGCTCAACTCACCTCCTTAGGGTGGATTTTATCCGGGCCTACTGACGCTTCGGAATTAAGCGACGGGTCCGTCCAATCGATGAACTGCGTTTCGGAACCCTCGATCGAATTTCTTCTCCAGAGATTCTGGGAAATCGAGGAAGTCTCTTCTGTCCCTCAGATGTCAGATGAAGACAAACGATGCGAACAACATTTTGTTGAAACACATCAACGCGGCCCGGACGGTCGCTATATTGTACGGCTGCCCTTTAAAACCGATCCTCCGCTCAGGATCGGGGCCTCTCGCGAAACCACCGCGCTGTTATATTCTAAGTTAGAAAGCCGCTTACAAAAAAATAAGGATCTTGCCAAGCAATATCACGAATTTTTAAACGACTATGTGACGAAAGGTCATATGGAACTCGTTTCCGACTCCAATCCGACGCGGTTTCCTCCCATATATATACCGCATCATCCTGTTTTACGCGAGTCCAGCAGCACGACTAAGCTTCGCGTAGTATTTAACGCGTCGTGCAAAACCTCTAATGGAACTACGCTAAATGATCATCTAATGACCGGGCCTAAATTACAGCGTGAGTTGTCTACGATCCTCCTTCGTTGGAGACAATTTCGTTACGTATATACCGCGGATATCGAAAAAATGTTTCGTCAAATTCGCGTTCATCCGGATGACGTTGATTTCACTCGAATTCTCTGGCGATCAAGAGACGATTGTCCAATTCAATCTTATCGGCTTTTAACCGTCACGTACGGTACTGCTCCGGCTCCGTATCTCGCGATGCGAGTCGTCAATCAATTGGCTCTTGACGACGGCTCCTCGTTTCCACTCGCGCGAGAGATTATACAAAATTCCCTCTATGTTGACGACGTACTATTCGGCGCCGACAACATCCAGTTGCTCCGCGAAAGTCGGGATCAGCTTACGAAGCTAATGACGCGAGGCGGATTTCATTTAAGGAAATGGGCCGCGAATTTAAAGGAATTATTGGAGGATATACCTCCTGGAGAACACGAACTCGCGATTGAGCACCCGTTTGATAAAGACAACACGCTCAAGGTACTTGGTCTCGCGTGGATTCCCAATGAAGATGCCTTTCGATTCCATATCGAACCACCGTCGCTCGGAGTAAATACAAAACGCTCCGTTCTGTCGTTCATCGCGCGTTTTTTCGATCCGCTAGGATGGGCGTCTCCGGTAACAATTACCGCGAAGATCTTAATACAGGAACTTTGGATTCAAAAGTACGATTGGGATTCTCCTATCGCGGACGCATTACTTCCGTCGTGGAAAAGGTATTATACGGAACTTACGGAGTTAAAGGAAATTCGCATACGTCGATGGACCGGTATGCTTCCGGAGCACATGGGCGTCGAATTACACGGATTCGCAGACGCTTCGAACCGCGCTTACGCTGCGGTCGTCTATTTAAAAATCCTACGGTCGCCTGGTGAAGTTTCGATTACTTTGTTAACGGCTAAATCAAAAGTAGCTCCAATTAAAACGATTAGTGTTCCGCGACTAGAATTAAACGCGATTGTCTTACTAACACGCTTGCTGGAATCAGTGCAGAATTCATTAGACCTAAAACATATCCCGACGTACGGATGGTCGGATTCTTCCGTCGCTCTCGCTTGGCTCCAAGGACATCCTTCGAGATGGAACTCGTATGTCGCGAATCGCGTATCGGAAGTACAAACGCGTCTTCCGTCCATTAAATGGAATCATGTTCCGTCTAAAGACAACCCAGCGGATTGCGCGTCTCGAGGCTTATCGCCCGCGGAATTCCGAGAGTTTGAACTTTGGTGGTCTGGTCCCGCCTGGTTACACGCACACTCTCCCGCATGGCCGAACCGAAATAAATTCCAAGCTCAGCTCGATACTAATCAAGTTTTCATTGAGTCCGAATCTCGCAAAATTAACGTGTGTCTCATACAAAAGATACAAGAATGGGAATTGCCGAACGACGTTTCCACATTCACTAAATTAGTTAGAGTCACCGCGTACGTAAAGCGTTTTGTCTTCAACTCCCGATGTCGCGTTTCCGGACTAGACAAATGCACCGGAAGACTATCTGCGTCCGAAATCAAGGGTGCGTCCGTGTTTTGGCTGCGTTACGCGCAACACATCAGCTTTTCGTCCGAATTCCACGCTCTAAGCAACTCCAGGTCGATCGCCAAATCTAGCGCGTTACGATCTCTTCACCCCGTTCTCGGGGAGGATAAATTAATCCGCCTTGGCGGGCGGATCGAAAACTCATCGTTAACTTATAACGAGCGTCATCCGGTTGTATTACCGAAACACCGAATTTCGGATCTATTAATTGCGCGCGCGCATAAAGATTCTCTTCACGGCGGCACACAACTGACCCTCCGAATCCTGCGTCAAAACTACTGGATTCTTTCGGCCCGTACTAGCGTCAAATCGCATATACACAATTGTGTAAGATGCGTCCGTGAACGCGCGCTCACGACGCAGCAACTGATGGGGAACCTTCCCAAACCTCGCGTCTCCCCATCGGCCCCGTTCTCGCACACGGGCGTCGATTACGCCGGACCTATGAATATAATCCCGACGGTCGGTCGAGGACAACGCACTCGGAAATATTACGTTGTCGTGTTCATCTGTCTTGCGACTAAAGCGATTCATTTAGAGTATGTGGACGACTACGCTACCGCCGGGTTTCTCGCCGCGTTTAAACGATTCGTAAGTCGTCGCGGTCTACCGTCCGATATCTATAGCGACAACGGAACTAATTTCCAAGGTGCTGATCGCGAGTTAGCTATCGCGTTTCAGCGATTGGTCGCTGACCCTCAGCTCCAAGACTCCATTGCTACCGACAATATCACTTGGCATTTTATCCCTCCCGCTGCTCCACATTTTGGTGGACTTTGGGAAGCCGGCGTAAAAGGATTAAAGTATCACCTTAAAAGAAGTATCGGATCTCGCACGTTATCGCAACTCGAATTCGCTACGTTACTGTGTCAAATTGAGGCATGTTTAAATTCCCGACCTATCTCCGCGTTACATGACGATCCGACTGATTTTTCCGTCTTAACCCCGGGTCACTTTTTGATCGGTCGTCCGTTGGTCTGTCCCCCTGAGGAATCGACTTTAGACATCGACTCAAACCGATTGTCGCGATGGCAACAAGTACGCGCTATACTCGAGAGGATCTGGCGAACGTGGTCATCTGATTATTTGCATACGCTGCAACAAAGGCAGAAATGGCGGGAGAATCAACCTGAATTAAAGGTCGATGAGTTGGTCCTCTTAAAAAATAATTCCCTGCCACCGTCTAAGTGGGAACTCGCTCGAATAATCGAGGTCCATCCTGGAGCAGATCATCACGTTCGCGTCGTCTCGTTACGCACCGAGAAAACGAAACTAAAACGACCAATCACGCAGATCTGCCGACTACCTATCCACCGTGACGCCGGCTCTTAAAATGCGATCTATAACTACGGCTCTAAGTCGATCGCCGTAATGTACATATGTTAGATTTCCGCTCCTAGTTGTAAGCTGTACACATTTAGCTGTAAGTTGAAAGCCGTAATGTACATAAGTCATATTCCTTCCCCTAGTAGTAAGTTGTACAGATATTATATGTATAAGCATTATTGTAAGGTTCATGTTAATGGATAACTGTAATTCAACATCATCATCCTTGTTACATTGAATATTGTATTCCTCGGACCGTCAGACCGCGTATGTGATTGAACTATCGTCAGCCGCATAGAATGATGTCGCCAAAGATCATTGTTTCGTCTCCTGTCAGGATACGAGGCGAGCGGGA